GAGCGGGGCAGCCGCGACGGCGGCGGCCGCCGCGCGGCGTCGCGGCGCGGGCAGTTTGACCTGGAGGGCGTGGCCTACGACCTGACACCGCTGTCTGCGGTGCTGTGCTCTTCGCACCCCAACAGCGTGGGCGCGATGGTGTCGCTGTTCTGGGACCACTATGGGGCGGCGGGGCGCCTGCTGGACGGCGTGAGGGGCGGGGGGACGCCGTACGAGCTGTGGAGCGGCGGCAAGGGCCACTGGGACCACATGGCGGAGGTGCCAGAGCTGCAGGCACGGTTCAACAGGTGGGCGCGCATGGCGTGACGTGGGGATGCCGTGGTTTGCTTATGGAGGATGTGAGAATGCCTGTGTAGGTGATGCGCTTGTGGGAAATGTTGTTTGTGTGTGTGGGAAAAGAGAGAGAGAGTGTGTGTGTCAGTGCACATATGTTCAAACTTGCGTGCTGGACTAAATGATCTGATGTTGCACTTGTGTGCAAAGGAAACGCAGCGGCCCAGACAGGAAAAGCATCAGATTCCTGCCTGCACCACACATGGGTCGCTTTGCATGCCGTGGGGTTGGGAATGACATCGCCAGGGCGGGCAGCGAATGCATATGTGTGCAGCGCCGGTTGCAGCCGTCATCACCTCAAATCGCCCCCAATCCCTTTCCTACACCACACACCTAAACGCACACCTGTACACGCAAACACCCAACCAAACACTCACCTGAACCTACGTCCAGGGCCATGACTCAGTTCAACAACCTCTCCCCGGTCGAGGCCGTGTTTGCCGCGTACCCCGCGCTGACGTCGGCGCCGCGCCTCGTGGACGTCGGGGGCGGCCTCGGTGGCTTCGTCCGCGCCGCACTGGCGCGCAGCCCCGGCCTCAGGGGTGCCCTGTTTGACCGCCCCCAGGTCATCAAGCGCGCCCAGGCGGCGTGGGTGGAGGACCCGCAGAACGCGGCGCTGGCGGGGCGGCTCAGCTTCCACGGCGGCAGCTTCTTCGACGCGGGGGCCATGCCGCAGGCAGAGGGCGACGGGGAGGTAAGCGGGGCTGCTGGATGAGCGCGGGTGTTCTTTGTCAAGCCCGTGGGTTGAGAGGGCGCCACTGCACGCGTCGCTGCGGAGAGATATAGTGGTGGCCTGCTCGACGCGGAGACCCACTCAGTGCCTGAGGAGACGGGGCGGCGGCGCGGGGAACAGCTTCAGGGGGGCTAACCCTTGCGGCGGCCACGGTTGCATGCAGGCTGCCTGCGGCCGACCGCCTGCCTCTGCTCGCCTCCTCCATTGTCGGTGTGACCCTTCCTCTTCCAGATCTTCGTGCTGCGCGAGATCCTCCACGACTGGGGGGACGAGGATGCGCTCAGCATCCTGCGGGAGGTGCGCTGGCTGGCCTGGGGCGCAGCCTGGGAGTGTGGGGGCCCATGACACATTGGGAATTATTTGTGGAATGCAGCGTGGCTAGTGGTCTGACGCGGCTCAGCTGACCGCGGTGTCCCTTGTGGGCAACTGCTCCACGCAAAGCTAGCGACTCGGCGGTCCTGCGGCGCACTTTGGAAGGGCACCGAGCAGCTGGCAAGCCTGCCAGCCTGCAGGCAAGCCAATCGGCAAGACCGCATCCTGCAACACTTCTCCCTCCTCGCCCCGGCCCCACCTCCGGCCGCAGGTCCGCGCCGCGATCGGCGCCCGCGCTCGCTGCCGCCTGGTGGTGCTGGAGGCCTGCATCTCCAACGCCATGGCGTCCACCGCGTCTGCGCGAATCAACGCCGACATCCACATGCTGGTGCAGTACGGGGACGCCAAGGAGAGGACGGAGGCACAGTTCGAGGGGCTGCTGGCGGCCGCGGGGTTCGAGCTGCGGCGGGTGGTGCCCACAAAGGGGCTCTTCTTCGTGCTCGAGGCGGCGCCGGTGTGACGGCCATCAGGCGGGGCCGCTGTTGTGCAGCCTGCAGGGCTTGGGATCGCGTTGGTCGTAAGATGCGGTCTGCCTGTAGCACGCCGCCTGTCTCTTTCGATGTGGTGATCACGGCGCCCCTGCTGCCCAACACTCCTTGGTTGTGGTCTCGTCGGAGAGGTCTGCCACCAATCAATTGCACCAGGCAGTGAGTTGAGATCCTGCCAGCCTCCCGGCCAACAAAGCTCATCTCATCACCTCTCAACATCTCCCTGTTGCCACATGGGGCCGTAATGACTTAGCAAGACGTGAGCAATGTACCACCTTTCGTAATTTATTACATATGATGCAGCATCCAAGTGGCTTATTCCCACCATCATCAACCAAGGAATCTTGTGGTGTGTGCCGGTTGAATCCCCTCTTGCATCTACTATGAAAGGCCCCTTGTCAAAGGTGTCAAGACGCCTGTGCAATACCATGCGCTGAGGGAGCAGTGTGCAATGGCAATGATGGGCGGGTGGCCGTGAAGGAGGACACATGGGCTGCCGGCATGCACATGCGCCTGGAAGCTACCTTGAGCTGACAGACCCAGCCAGCGCAGGGTTTGATTGCCGTGGCGGCAGAGGAAGGGGGAAGGGAAAATCCAGCAATGAAGCGCGTTTCGCACCATCACCGCAGCGCGTCGAACGCCTAGCAGACATGCGACTGCGTGCACGACCCAATGTTGATGTGGCGATTGGTAACTACACACCAGCATACAAAGGATCTGACCCCGGATGGCATTTTGCAGCAAGCTTGTCGCTTGTCCACAAGCACAACCCTGCAGTGGTGAATCGTGGGGTGCCCATCCACACCAGTTTGTTGATGAGTGCTGATTTCGAAATGTGGAATATCTTGCGGCAAGCCGGGCAAAGCGCTGGGGTGAATGGATTGCGCCCGACGTGCCGCACGCCGGCACGCATGCGAGCACCTTGAGGCGAATGACTCATATGCTCCAGATCAGCAGGGGCACCGACAACAAAGTGACAAACCCCTGAGAAGCACGCAGGTCCTGGGCTCCTGCAAACACCACTCTTGAACCACAGTGCTTGCAGGGTAGGGCCACAGCCCTGCTGGTGATGACCCACATCCCCACAGAAATGCGTGGCCGGGTGCGCCCCGGAGCGTGGCCTGTCATGCCGCGACATGCTAGAGAAAGATGTGGCCCTCGGCTAGCCCGTTGCCAGTGTGGTGATGCTGCAGGGTGCTGACGTGCGGCGCTTGCGGCAGCATGAGGGGCCAGGTTGTCGCCACGCTCTGCCAGGCCTCAGCAGGCGCCGACACCAGCGGGTGCGTGTGGCCGGGGGGGCCGCCCTTACCCCACGCCGACCAGCAGGGCTGCTGGGATGCGCCGGCGGCGGTGTCAACCCCCAACTGCCGCAGTGGCAGCTGCACGCCGGGCAATGCGCTTTGTGCAGGCGGCGGCCTCTGCTGGAGGAGCGGCCCCGCAAAGGGCGCAGAGGCTCCGATTGCGGCAATCGGCAGAGCCCCCAGCAGCGCCTGGGACTGTGGCAGCTGCTGGGGCAGGCCGGCCGCCAGCAGCCCCTCGGTCCCGCTGCCATGCCGGCTCAGACTCATGACCGATGACCCGGCCGCTGCGGCATGTGAGCCGTCCAGGTGACGCGCCGGCTCCCCGCCGGGCTCGCACCAGGCCGCCACGCCCAGCTCGCACGGCGCGGCGCGGTCCGCACCACCATCCGCACACGCGGCTGCGGCGCCGCCCGCGCCCGTGGCTCCGGCATGCTTGGCGGCCCAGCGCTCCCTGCCTGCCGTGCTGCGAGCGCCCTTGCGCCCAAACTTGAGGGATGCTCCCGTGTGCCTGCACACAGCACGGGTGGTCACGCGTCAGCAGAAAACAGGCACGTTGGCAGCCCTCTGTTGCAACCCCGCTGATGGGCAAAGGACGCACTTGCCGGGTGACAAGGCACGTGCTCGTCCAAGGAGTTAAAAGGCAGCTGCCTGGGGGAACCCAACAGAGTGGCACTCACCAGCAGAGCTCAGCCGCTGGCAGGCAGGGGTCGCGGGGCCGCAGCTTGTCGGGGGAGTGGGCGAAGAAGCACACCAGCCGGCTGCAGACCTCCCCGAACTGGCACAGCTCTGTTCGGAAGCGGTCGGGGTGAAGCCAGTACTCGTAGAGGCTGTTGGGAAGGGGTAGGGGG